ATTATTTATTTTAATCCTTCGTCTACAATCATATTTTTATTCCCTTCATCTACAATCTTTTTGTCCAGCCCAATTTTTTTCAAAAAGTTTAGAAAAACTTATTACTTTTTAACGTCTCTGTTACTAAATAGATCGGAACGGTACCTTCTTTCATTTCGGAAACATTTGAGAGTGAAATTTGCTTATACCAAAAAAGGATACAGACTAAGAATTAAATTTCTGTTGAAGAGAATGCGCTTAATTTTTATATTATTTCTTGTAAATTTCGCATAAAAATTGGTTAATGCTAATTTTATAAAGTAATATTATTTCTACTTAACAAAATATTAAAAAAAAGTCAAATTTTAAACGTCCCAAATTCATCACGAGAAAAAAACTAATTGGACATCCTATACAGATATATGCTGGAGCTCGAAGATCCGAACCTAAATACACCGTCGCGTATCCCTTTCCCGTCGCTGTTATCCGCTTCCGCAATCAGGGAACTTTCACCCTCTCTTATGATGCAGTTCCGTTCGATTACGACCGTTGTTACGTTCATTGCGCTACACGCGCGGGGCTTTCCACAAGGAACCCATTAATTGGATCTGGCGTCGGGTTACTCGAGCTTCGATTCGCCCTATGTTCCGCCGTGTAAATCCGGAAGCTCGTATGCGTTGTCCATACCGGACTTTGGCGGTCTTTCCTGTTCGCGAAATATATCCACAGAACGACCACGGAAAATACAACGTATCGTTGAATACGAAAATTCCAATTTCATAAAGCCGTCTCTCATCATTTAGTATTCATATAAATCTATTTTAAGTAACGGGTAGACTAATTTACGATGTCCAAAAATTCACTTTGTCCTTAAGAGAAATCGCAAAATTAATTTAATATCCACAATAATGCGAACAAGAGAAGTCACACATGTACATAAATTAATTTATAACGTGATGGATTATTCGATAATTGCTCTGTTTAATCTCGTGAGCGTGATTGTGATCACGTAATTTACCAAAAATGCATCTAGAATATTATTCATTCTCGTGTACGTTTTACCGCGGGCGGCGTGGGGGAGTATCGTGGTGAACCGCATGCAGCTGCAAGTGCAACCACATTGTGCGTCACTGACACGGTGTATCGCACGATCCGCTTTCTCTTCGCAGCGCCAGAGTGATATTCGGTGACTTTTCCACTTCTCTTCTCTACTATTTTCCGTTACCTTCTCACGTAGAAATCCCTCTGCTCTCAATTTTCAAGAATTCGAGCGCGAATTTTGTTTCTCTTCCTTGCCTTTTCCGGAGTCTATCTTTCTGGTGAGAATGACATAATACATCACGGCATGCTATCGGTATTTATTTTCCGAATTCTACCGCGCCAGGAAAATGGGGAAGGGAAAGATGAAGAGAGGTGATCACTTAGAGGAAGGGGGATTCTCTTACTGACGCTGGTCTCTCAACTGAATCCATTAGCCAACGCCATTAATATCACAGTAATGATGAGCGATGAGCTACCGCGCGGAGGACGAAGCAGATCAGAAGAGGATGAGATACTTTCGGATAACGTTAAGAGAGAAGGAGAGAGAGAGAGAGAGAGAGAGAGGAGTAAGCAAAAAAATAGGGAAGATGACTAGGTAGACAGATAGGTAGATCGATAGACAGGTAAATAGGTAGATGTATGCTACATTACAAGGGGTATAAAAAAGAAAAATCTTTTCTTATAAAATAAGAAATCAGCATAACAAATAGGTAAAAAATGATTAAATCAGTAATTAATAATTAACTGCGAGAGAATAGTTATTAAGTGATTATATTGCAGAACTATAACTATAAATAATTTTCTTTATCAAGATACGTAAGATTAGATGACAGGTGAGCGTGGTATATTGCACATAGCATTGAGCAACATAATAAGACAGTAAAATTTTTAATGCTGGCGTATATATAAAGACTTTTACGTTCGTTGCATAAGCGAGCAAATTTCAATGCCAATTCAAATTTTAATTAAAATTTAAATTCGCAGAAAAAGAAAAAGAGAGTAAATACGGTAGAGGCAAAAGGGCACTAACACGTCCGCACTTCCACAATCGTTGCCGTATAGGTAGCACGTATATTATATACGTGCTTACAGGGGCTTTGATAAATGCTGCTTTGCTTGGCCCACTGCCAAATAGCATGCCGCACAATGTATCTCATCGCTCGTGTATTCCTCATCGCGCCTTTCATGAGACGAGATACGCTCGTGTCGCGGTGTATTAAACCTTCACACACGCTAAATATTATCGGTTAACGACGATTAAAAGCCGGCTACTCGGCCGGCTATTATAGCGCTTCAATTATTTAATATCACGAGAGTTGCCAGAGATAATCCGAGATTTTTTCTTGTTTCGAGAAGGTGCATTAGAGGTATGTATATGTCCGTAAAAGTAAATAATAAATCTTATAATTCCTCTAATGATTCATATGTATCATTAAATATTGATCCTGAGACAAATAGAAATTTTGTTTCCGTCAGTTTTCACTTAACTGATGATCCGTGTCGCAAATTATTTGCGATACGCCAACTTCGTCGAAGGACCAAATTAAGGTTCAACTTTCGCTCCCAGCTAAGAGAAATAATTAAGCGCTCTTTCATAACGATCATTACTCAGACTCGTTCATTCATCATTCGACCTCGCATTGAATATGTTCATCTTGGCGAACTCTAATGTTACGAATGAGTTTTATGAACCTTGCAAACTTCCAGTTAAGTAAAGAAAATGTTTTCAAGGATGAGATCCTTCCTTCAGATGAGGGAAGTTTCTGTCCACGTGGCCTTTGATAGATATTGCCTTCCTTTATGACGCTTCAAATAACGTAGCAGGTTATCTATCCCATTTCGCGCCGTTTATTGTATTCCGCGTCCCTCTTTAGCGAGAGACTTATCAGTATGTGTTTAACCAACCCTCCAACCAACTAGTATTCAACCATGCCTCTTTCAGGGTGTCGCCAGGTAAATGAGAATCTCGATCTTACAATGCTTCTCGGTCGAGGGACCGAGAATGGAAACAGTGGCGGATCCGATCTGGTTGATCGGAAGTATCTTTCAGTCCCGAGAACCCCCATCCCTTTTCCGTGAAAATCACTTTCCCTTTTTCGCAAGCGGCCCACGTAACACACTGAGGAGCCCACCCCTCTCCCTCAATGCGCTCCCTTCCCTTTCCTTGCGTTCATCATACCCGGCACGTGTGCCCAGGCACTTCCCGGCGTACCTACGTGCCTCTTATGAAGAATTCAGTCACAATGGCAGAGGGGTTGGAGATTCCGATACGAATTTCCGGCGTTCCGCTACGCCGCCGTCGCCGATATCGAATATACCCAGTTCGAGAAACGAGGAATTTCAGCCGCGAAATTCTCCACCTCCTGTACCTCCCTTACCCTCCATACCACCCCGCGCAGAGACGTAAATGAGGGTTACGGTGGTATTTCGCGTGGTTATCGATATGAAGGATCCACGATTGATCCCCCGGATCGGTCCTTTCGCAATCCTTCCTCCTGCGTCGTAACTACCTCGAATGAGATTATCCGCAAAGGGTATCAAGGCTGGAAGTCTTCTTACGGGATATCGAGAAAAATGAATTTTTAAATCATTAATCCTTTATAAAACTCTGGGAAATTAATTCTTGAATTTTTTATAAGAGTTTAATTGAATGCCGTTTTAAGTTTCTATTGAACTATATCAGGTTTTCGTTGTTACACAGAAAAGACAGTTTTACTGTATCTACAATTTTAGCTAGATAAAAATTTGAAAATAATTATGTAGGACGCTCTCAAACTGGTTGCTAGAATATCTAAACTTTGTGCAATAATTATTTTAATGGTTCAACAAAATTATTTTCAAATTTGCATCTAGCATAATTTTTAGAATTGTTCTTTCCTTGTATGCATTGTAAAATGACTCATGTTAATTATAAATTATTTTGAGAAATTACTTTAATATATGGAGATCGTGGCTACAAAAAAAAACCAACATTTCTTCTCTTTGTAAAAGCATTAAGTTATTTTCCTCGTAAATTAGCATAGATATGGTTTAATGCTTGGCTCAACTATGGCTGAGCAGTCTTGGCGCTTTAAATATTAAATGCCACAAATAGATAGCGATAAATAATACTACGTATACAGGAATAAACTAGAAATAAAAGCGGAGGTGTGTAAGTAATAATTCATGTTGTTGCGCAAATGGCGGGTAACGTGCAGGTTTCCCTTCATGTTCAAGGTAAAAGCACATCTTCACGACGACGGCAGCACAAAGCTGCTCGCTGTCTCGATTAAGTCTGTCGGAATGAACGAATGAAGCTGTTTCCACGGCGATTAATTCGCCTCTTCCGGTATTATCGCACCCGCGACGGCCGCATAATTACACAGCGGCGTCGCATAATACCATACTGCGCGACGCCCTTTTTGCAACTCTCTTCGGTGAGAGAGTGAGAAAATTTATATCCGCGCGATCTCATTATCGGTCATCGCCGATGAAACCGGTTTTCCCAGTCACCTTAAAATGTCGAAATCCGTTCGACAAACACAAAATAGATAATAAAAAATTCGACATAAAACTATTCTCACAACTATTCTATGATTCTACAAGGAAAGAATGATTTTGCTAAAAGTATCTGAAAGTTTAACTAGATACAGATTTGAAAATAATTTTGTTGAACTATTAAAATAATTATGTAGGACGCTCGAGCTAATTGCTAGAATATCAAAATTGTTTGCAGCACTTCTCATTATATATGCTTGAGTGTCCTACATAATTATTTTAATAGTTTAAAATTATTTTCAGATATGTATCTAGCTCAATTTTTAAACATTTCAGTAAAATTCTTTCCGTGTTCGATATAAATATCCGCGCCATACATTGCAATAAAATAAGCAAGTCTTCATAAACAGCTTATATAACAATATTGTTTACAAAATAGACATTTGTAAATAGATATTTGTAAACTACTTGAATATGCTCTAACGATGGTTCTCTCTTTTCAGATGATCGACGCCTCCTATCATACAAACCCGTCGTTGCAAAGCACTGCCCTCATCATCACCTGCGCGGTGGTCCTTCTACTAATGGCCGCGATTGTATCCGTCGTTTTCTGGAAGTAAGTAGATTTCTCTATTATCGTTTTCTTTTACCAGTCAAACGATATCATATAATACCAACAAGTATGGCGATACGGTAAAAATCTCTGCAGCGAAGTCCTCGAGCTGTCAATTGTCGTTTCTCACAATAAAACGACCGTTTCTTTCACGCTGTGACATCGTGCAGCCTCGTGTTTTCGAGATTCGAGGTCATTCAGCATGCAACCATATTTTAAGGAATTGAGAGCACAGGCCACCTTTGGATTCTTACGCGACTCGTAGAAATAGAAAGGGACGACCACATGGGGAGTGAATAAGGGCGAAGTTGTGCGAGGATGCGAGAGAGAGCGTTACCGATTGCTCCAAAATTAACCAAAAATAGAACAACGAGCTAGGACGAGGAAACGAGCGTTTGAGCATCCGTCGGTTTGCTCTCGACAGCGCCCCGGTTGTTCTGCCTCCTCGTACTGGACGATGATCTATGGCGCGGTAAGCCGCACCAAGGGGGAGCTTTAGGTCTACTCGGAAAATGTTACGTCACGGGTACCGTAGTCGATGGTCAAAATGTCAGATATCGATTTTTGATTTAGTGAAGTCTCTGTTTCCTTCAAAAATGCACTCATTCTGTCAAAAATCTGTTTCTTTAAAAAATGCACTCATTCTGTCAAAAATAATGTAGTGGTCCGTTTGAATAGCATTCTGTAATATGTTACTTTACAATTTTTACAATTATTGTTAGAAAGATTTAAAGCTTGCTGCTTAAATGTTTCTTTCAAAAATGCGCTCATTCTGTCAAAAGTAATATAGTGGTCTGTTTGAATAGCATTATATAATATATTACTTTACAATTTTTGCAATTATTGTTAGAAAGATTTAAAGCTTGCTCCTTAAATGTTTCTTTCAAAAATGCGCTCATTCTGTCAAAAATAATATAGTAGTCTGTTTGAATAGCATTATGTATTATGTTACTTTACAATTTTTACAATTATTGTCAGAAAGATTAAAATCTTGCTTTCTAAATGTCGAATAGGACGGTTTTGTTGAAGCATCTAAAAATTCAACTAGATACAGATCTGAAAATAGTTTTATTAAACCATCAAAATAATTATGTAATACATTCAAACTGATTGCTAGAATGTCAACTTTTTGCATCATTGTTCATCATGTTTGATATTCCTATGGAATTATTTCGATGATCCAACAAAATTATCTTCAGGTCTGCATCTAGTTAAATTTTCAAATACTTTAACAAAATCGTTCTTTCTATACAATAAATCAGTATGTATATGTTAAATATATACAAGAAAATAAATACTTGAGTAAATGAATCGGTCTTAAAAAACTTTAAAGCAGTTCTCACAGAATTTTCACATAGCTAGAGTGGGTTTACGTAGTCAATTGAGTTTTTATGATACGATTATGTAATTTTCCAACTTTTCCGTTAGTGAGCGAGAAGCGATCGAGAGCACATAGATGAGAGCGTTGCTCTTGAGCGTATCCTAAATTACCCGAAAATGGAGCACCCGAAGACGCGGTGAGAAAGCCTGCCACTTTAATTAATACCTAACCGTGTTTCCGACAGCCTGTGGCTCTGGTTCCCATATCGTATACCTAGATCTGGGTCGCGGTGAGATTAGATGATGACTTCGTAATTAACGAGGATGCCATCTTGCGCTCTCGCGAAAAAAAGACGACCGCGCGTAATATCGTTATATATAACAATTAGTGGAGATGACATTGCATAATAAGTAAAACGCCACGGTTATTTCTCCATTTGAACTTTCGCCTGGAATTTTTATCTGTGCCATCTTGAGATACAAGCAGCGAGGAAGGAAATAGGGCGACGTCGTCGCACTAATGGGCCCTAAATTAGCCAAAAACAAAGCTTCGCCTGGTTTCACCACTACTACAGTCTGCCGCAGACAACGTTGGTTCTTGCTCGCAGTACCGCGTGCTGATCTACAAACAACCATAGTAGGTAATTTATTTAGAGCACAGCGGTAGCCGAGAACTTTTCGACCGTTCTCTCCCGAAATTTTAGAAATTCGCACGATATGTTTCGCTCCGTTCTTTCAGACACAGGATTTGTCTCGTCGCTCGTCCTTTGAAAATTTTAGAAATTGGAGCGTACTTTTCTTCTTTGCAAATACATGACACTTTAGAAATATATGAGGCAACTTAGAAATCGTCTCACGAGCATTTCAACCTTTGCCATAGAGTCTCAACGAGAGAACAGTACGCCTAATTGGCATTCCAGTGAGTCCTAAATTAAAGCAGAAATAGGCCATTCCTGAAATGGGCGTACGCCCAGGCGCTGTTACGTACCGCCGACAGCGGAACAACGCGCCAGTAATTTGTGACACGGTGGCTCATGCTAGTCGGCACGGTTTCGTGGATCCGCGGGACACGGGAAAATACATTTACCGACGTCCGGGGTGGCTTACTTGGGAGATTTACGGACACAGCCGCAGGCGAAAGCTCCGTTGCACCACCGTTGTCGCACGTTGATTGGACGCGCGGTAAAAAATGGAGCGGCTCGATAAGACGAATAGGAGACGCGTGGAGAAGTTGACAATTCGAAGGGCGGGACTTTCCCCTACGCGCTTTCAAATGCTATACTTTTTCGTATGAGAAACCACGCAATTTTTTTCACAATTGTGACTTCTTTGCCGAACCAGCCGCTTGTCGTTCTTTTCAATTCTCTCTAATAAATTCAAATGGCGGAAGCTCATTCTTCATTTAATCTTGAACAGACTAAGAAAACAGTGCGTCGCAATTCTTTGTAAAAGCAAAAAGGTTCTAAAGATCTATGCAAGGAATTTGTGAAACGGAGATAACATCAGCGACGTGAAATTTCCTGTGCATGGACGAAGACACGGACGTCCGTCCAATCATATCGGTTAATATTTGCCTTGCACGCTCCACTTGTAATCTTAAACACATCTCTCGCCTAACTGGGTCTGTCCGACCGTCCGCGTCATCCGATCTCTGGATCATTCGAACGGATTGTTAACCCACGATTAACTCTCCGCTAATGAGCAGTGAATCCGCGCCTCTCGTGGCCCTATCTGATGATCGATCGATGAACATCGGGTCAGAAAACGCCGGTCGAGAGGACAATTTTGGGCAGCACAGTGCCTCGCATTCACGACTGAACGCGGGTTCTATGGCAGCGACCCTCGAAGGCACACTCGTCGCGACAACGGTGGCCCTGTTTTCGCGCGTTTTATCGTAATGCCTAGTCATTATCGACACAACCACGCCGCTAGTATCTCAAGTGTTACCGGTTCCCCACATTTGCGCTTTGTGGGTGGTTATCGTAAGTACGACTCATGCTGAACACTCGTACGCCAGAGCGAATTAGGATCGACCACAATAAAATTAGATAACTGATAGAGGGAAGTGTCAAGTACTTTCTTTGGTTACAAATTGCTCGTGAAAATGGCATTATAAAGCGTCAGTCTTTATATTATGTAGAATCTGAGTCATATTTGTTTAATTTACTCAAAAAATGGAAGAGAAATGTCGAGATTTTAATACTAATATTTTTTAAAAAAGATAGTTCCTAGAATAATTAAAAAGAAAGTATATATCTGTTTTAAATAAATAAAGACTTTATAAAAAAATTTGAAAGATGGAGTAGTTATATATATAAATAAATATATATATATATAATTGATAATTTTAAGGACATCGAATATATTCTTTAAAAAATTAAGAATATTAAATATATTCTACTCTTTTTTTTTTTATGCATTTCTTTTCAATTATTAAGAATATAAAACTAAACCCAATAATCGGTTTCCATATGGTTCCTATGCATGTTCCCGTGTTGCGAAAAATCGGCGAAGTTTCTCCACCATTCGGGACAATCGTGACTCTGTTTTCGCGTTTATCGTAATGGCTATGGTCCATTATTGAGCGTGACGTCTCGAGTGTTGCGGCGTCTCGCGGCTCGTTGCTTTGTGGGTGGCATCGGCCTCCTTTTCTCGGCATTTCTCTGCGCTGTTTCGCACGCTCTCGCGGTTCCTCTCTGTCCTCGTGTTGGTCGTTGGTTCTCCATATTATTGCGGATCTCTCGGTGCTTGTTCCTACGAAGCGCAGAACCGTAACCATTATGTCTGAGTGAAAGCGATTTAAGTTTAAGATTAAACGATCTAAATTTGAGACAGTCTCTTTTACGAAATCTTTATTTAAAGTCGAACTTTTTTTGTATAAGAAAATTTCTACAGAGAAAAATTAATTATGAACGTAGATCTTGTATTAAATATATTTTTTATCTCATCTTGTTTATATGTACATAAAGAATGCGAAAATATAAATTTAATTCATTGTTACTTGATGAATTAATATCAAAAGTAAGTAACTTAATTTATAGCATTGTTATGGAATAATTTTATTTTGCTTTTGATAATTTATTAATTATCTATATATGTATACGATATTTTGTTTTTAGATAGGACGACAGTAAATCTAGTTTTCGCCATAAGACTCAGCCACTTTAGTTACGGCACTGCGCGCACAATCAGAACGCGGAGAACCGACACGGTCGCGTGTAGTTTGTATGCTAATCAGAGTCGTGTTCTCTTCCCATCCGTACATCCTCACCGCTATCTTCGTCCACCATTGCGGTCTCTACTATCGTCAATTCTATTTTCTATCCCGTCTTAACTTCGCGCATTCACACTCTTGTTCAGTGCCGCGTTTAGCACCGAATGCGGCTATCCGATCCCGAGTTTTATTTAAAGATACTGAGATCGTGTGGCGTTCGACGTAATCGAAAAACGAAAAGCGAATGGTCACATTTACCGTCGAATGTATGCAAATGCAACTCCTAACCACCTATCGCTGTTAAATGATACAGTATTGTTGTTGATAAATTTACGTACAAGCTGAAATAGTCTACTTTTAATTAAAAAAAAATATATATAAGCACAAATTTCATATATTTCACACTTTTAATAACAAAATATTTATGATATAAATTTTTATAAATACAAGTAACCTAATTAATTTAAAA